CCGCACACGCACAGCACCGCAGAAAGTGTGCCATGACATACCGCACACGCACAGCACCGCAGGCTGGGTGCCATGGCATACCGCACACGCACAGCACCGCAGAAAGTGTGCCATGGCATACCGCACACGCACAGCACCGCAGGCTGGGTGCCATGGCACACCGCACACGCACAGCACCGCAGAAAGTGTGCCATGGCACACCGCACACGCACAGCACCGCAGGCTGGGTGCCATGGCACACCGCACACGCACAGCACCGCACAGCACTGCAGGCTCTGTTCCATGGCAAACTGCACACACACAGCACCGCACAGCATCGCAGGCCGGGTGCCATGGCACACCACAAACCACACACCGCACACATACAGCACCGCAGGCCGTGTGCCATGGCACACCGCACACACACATGCACCACGTTGGGCGGCACAGCCCGAATCTGGGCACAGCACAGAACCTTGAGGGACACCCAAGGGACACCTGTCCCTCCTGTGGGACTGAGGGGGGGCAGAGAAGGGGTCACCATGCCCCCTCTGCAGGGAAACAGGCAACAGGATCTGCGTTCCCTGCGTTGCTATGGGCAGGAGTGAAAACAAGGAGAGATGCATGCGTGTGAAATGGGGATGTTGCACTAAGGAACACCTTCTCAGCTGACATAAAGTAATGTAATTCTCATTATTCTGGTGGAGGTCTCCTGATTTGCAGCACCTCACCTACTTAATTGTGTCCAAACAGCTACTACTCTGTTGTTTCGTGCAGATACAGAAACATGTGATTTACTGTTACTTTTTTTTTATTTGGTATCTGCCACGACCTGTTAATTTTATGTGGACTATGTACATATACATGCACACATCTGCACACACACAGTGCCCACGTGTAAGACAATAAAAACTGCAATTTGTGTGTTGTGAAAACTTTCCTACTTTGCTTGCAACTAGAGACCCTATCAGTAACATTGCTCTTTTTTTTTTTTTTTTTTTTTGAAGTTGATCTGGATGCTGGTTCTCCCACAGTAAGCAAGGCACATACCAAAGCAAATTTTGCTCATCTCCTCAGTTGGACTTTTTTTACCCTGCATCACTCCAGAAGGAGACAGGCCTGGCTATTAGCCTTTTAAGCCGGCTGCTTCATGGCCCAGAGGTTTTTCTTTCCTCATCTTCCTTATGCCAACATTTGCAAAACTTGAATGGGCTAACACATGCTTACTAGCTAAGATGGCAACAATGCTTACACAAGAGTAAAATGGAGGCAATCTGGAAGTGTATTCATGCCAAAAGTAATGCTCTTTCCAGATTTGCCTGTGAGGTGGCAGGGGAGTTTGGTAGCAGCATTAACCTTGCCTAGGGAAGATTGCCATCCCTTCTGCTAGTGTTATTTTCAGTAGGTTGTCATGATCATGGTGCTGCAACGAGCAGAGGTCTATAATACTTAATTATTTAAGATTTCAGTGGTAGATTCCTAAAGATGAAGAACCCTAACAGAAGGAGTAATTATTCCAGGGAGAGGAGAGAGAGTCTGCCTCCATCCGTCATGATCAAATACATGACACCCTGCTTTCACATCTTACTTTTAAAGCAGGGACCTGTACTCAAAGCACTGGCAACATTAAGAAAAAGACCACAACGTTCCTGGACTCTGCTGTGCCCACAAAATCCTTGCAGGGACAGGAATGATCTGATTTTCAGAAATATGCCCCCACAGTACTGTACAGGCCATCACACACTCCTCATGGGTCAGAGGCTGCATGGGTCGTACTGGTTGAAACCAGTGCCCTGCTTGCCTCTACGATGGGCTGCTCAGCTGTCTTTTCAAGACCAAATAGTTACATTTTCACTAACAACAATAAGGAATTCCTGAAGAGGACTGCCTTCCAAACAAACACTCCTCATCTCTGGGAGCCCTATAATCAAGCTCACATAATCTTCAGTCAGGAAACATAAGGGGCTTGCTCTTCACTGTTGGCCTTTATCACTCAAGTCTTGATCAGTCTTGATCATTCCTTTTCATTCTTTTTCTTTGTTCTTCTCTACTTCTCTCATGCTCTTCAGTAGCCACAGGACAAAGCCTCTCTCCTCCTCCCAGCTTCTCCCCCTCTTTCTTCTCCTTCTTCACTTCTTCGTTGTTAGGAGCAGCCACAGGTCACATCATATGCTCTATCAAAGAGCTCAGCTAAGCTTAGTACAGTGTCACCAGTACCTCAGCACAGAATTGTAGTTCTGGATGAGCTTGTTTTAGCTCACTGCCTGTGTTAGTGATTGCACTGGGAGGGCAGCAATTGTGTGCACTGGTGTTCCCAAGCAAGAAAACAAGGTTTTCTCTGGAAAGGAAAGCTACTGCTATTGACCCAACAGGACTGTGCTGGCTGCTGCAGGGTGGACAGACACAGAGACTTTGCTGCCTCTGCAAAGCCAAGAAACTGTTGTGGTGAGGCGTTATTGCTGGGCATTTCTCCTCCTTCATCACTTGGAATAAAACACAACCAGGCATACATCTGACTTGGTTGACGTGGACACCTGCTGGAGGTGCTGAGCACCCCTTCATAGATGGTCCACATGTCCAGGTAAGGCAGCAGGGTCCTGTCATTAATGCAGTGGGCTGAGAAAGAAGATGTATCACATCCTCATCCCAGAACTAGCATGGATTTTTTTCTGTGACCTCTGACAATTTACTAACCCATGTGCTGTGACCCTTCATCAGCCATAGCAGGCTGTGTGGCAAGGGTGAATTGTCTTACTCCAGATGCCAGTGCCAGGAAAGCTAGGGCTTATGGTGCTCAGTGGAAGCTCATGCTCTCCCCTCCAGTACTCCTGGGCAGCCTGCCATCCCATTAACACATGTGCCACCAGCAGACCAAAAACAATGGGCAAAAGCATCCCAGATCCCACGTGAACTGATCCTTCTGCAGAGAAATGCTGGTTGTGAAATAGGGTGTACAAGCTGTCAAACAGGAGGGAGAGGAATCACCATCCTCCTGTTTGGGAACACCTGAGTCTGCTTGAAGAGAGGTCCAAAGCTCCTGGCAAGTGACAGCAACATCACAGCAGAGATGATACCACCTCACAGAAAATGTGCAGGCACCAAGTGACCACATGGCTTTGTTGTGAACTGCTCAGCTTCCCCAGCATCACTCCAGCACCACATTGGTCAAGAGAAACAGAGCAAAGCTTGGCTTTTCCCAGGGATGTCCTCCGTGAGATAAGATGTGCACCGACTCAGTCTGGGCCGGTTCCTCTTTTGTTCAGGACTGACAGGTGGGCTGGATTCTGCTGAGTGGTTTGTTTCTGCTGCCCAGCTCTGCCCTTCTTTTGATTCAGGCAGCAAGGAAGCTGAGTCACATCCCCGCAGTCTGTGCCCTTGCCATGCCTGCTCTCTCCTGCCCAGCTGAGCAGGGTGTGCCAGCACCCACACAGACTCTCTCTCAGCCACCACCACCAGTCATGAGCCTGACCTGGCACCAGAAGCTTTCTTTGCCAGCTGAAACACAAAGGTGAAACACTACTCCATGTGAAACCCCCAGCCCTCACAGCAGGAGGAAAGCTGGCCCGGGAGGAAGACAGATGCAATCAGAAAATACTTCCGATTTTAGCAGAAAGCTGGCCGTACACTAAGGACCTACCACTAGAGTAGTTGGGATGAGAATGAAAAAGGCCAAGAATGGTCTGCTTTACCAGCTGTAGGTTTGAAATCAGAACTGATTTTGTCACAGGAAGAAGGGCAGGATCAGGCCACTGCCACAACAGGCTTTTTTTTTGCAGCAGTTCCCCACACAGACTGCTATTAGCACATCTGCTCCAAGGGCTGCTCATCATGGCTGGAACCAGCCAGACACAGATCATGAACTTGTTTTTACAGGTGTGTTTCTCAGAGGAACATGTGCCCAACAAAACTAGCTCCTGCTGTACAAAAAGTTAAGCTGGAACCACTTTTGAGTCAGAAAAAATTTCCTGGCACAACCATTATCTTCCTGAAAAAGGTAGCCCCTTGAAAAAGCAGTATGAGTTAAAAGATTCATCTTCCTTTCTAGACTTCATTTGCCATGATCCAAGCAAGATTTTACTCCATCATTTAGCTGGAACATGGAGAGAGTAGTATCTGTAAGGTCCCAGAAAGTCCTAGAAGAGCTCAGGGCCAAACCTTGTGGTGTCTCACAGTGCCTCTTCCTCCTCTGTAACATTGTAAGGGAAGCAACAGACAGCCTTCCGACATGCAGGCAGACAGCTAATTCTTCACTGAGGCTTCCTCTACCTCAACATCTATTGCAAAGAAATGAGCACCAAAAATCTGGGGAGCCAGCTTCCCATCCCAAGAGCCTGTGTGTCACTCTGGAATACTACAGTTCCCTCTCAGAGAATTAAGCATGAGCTAGACTCACCTGACTGACACACTTCTCTAGGTGAAAGGATTTGGTGAGAAACAGGTCAATATTAATGGGCTGGCTCCCTTGTGGGACATCAGTGCTCCTGAAGGGCAACAGGTGGGTCTGTGGGGCAGTGCAGCTTACAAACACCCAGCTGTGAGGACTCAAGGTCAGTGACAGAAGGTGGGTGCCAGTTTCCTCCATGACTGCAGGAAGACAAATGGTCTGACTTGCAGAGAACTGGTGTGACAAGTGGAGCTGGGGTATTACAACACACACCTGAGATACTGGTGGTTAGTAAATAAGGAATCCTTCTCTCATGACTGTGCAGAGGGCCTTGTATCCCTGTGTTTTCAGTAGCAATGTAGCAGAGCTGCACTGGTGTAGGCAGGGTCAGAATGAAAGCCATTAAGTGCCTCTTTGGACACCAGCTTTCTGGCACTGAACTGGTATGCTGCTATTGGGAAGTTCCTTTGAAAATTGCAAATAAATATGGAAGTGAATAAGTTGCTTGTCTGTGGAGTTGTTGTTTTTGGGTTTTTTTTAGGTTTCCTGTACAAAACACTGGAACTGTAATGTTTGAAAAACAAATTCATTTACTAAGGCAAGGCAAGGCAGTATCAGAACATGATCCATTTGTTTAAGAGTGGTCCTTAAAGAGGAAGATCAAGCAGGCAACTTCTCCCTCACACCCCCCAGCTTCTCTTTAGGTAGGGAAAGGTTTTTAAAGCAAAATCTGTGAAGTATCATATCTGCATTCCTGGAACATCTGTAATTAAATACACACAATATTTCAAAGCAGAGCACTGCTGGTTAATTCGCCCTTCACTTACCTGCCAGTCCAAAAATTACTCTATGGGGGCACTACATGATGCCCTAATCATGATGCCCATGATTTCATCACTTTTGGAGAAGATTTCAGAACAAACTCACTTTTAGTAGACCATGGTCCTTCAGCTCTGCTGGTCATTTACCACCACATCTAGGTGCACCCTGCTCAGCAGTATTTCAACACTTGTAATCCTGCTTTTAACACTGACCTGACATCCCTGCTCCATCGGTCAGAAACAAGGGCACTACAAGAATCCACAAGAGAGGAAGGCATTCTTCATTCTGGGACACTAATGGGACACAAGCCCTCAAGGAGCCTGATTCAAACAGGAAAGCTTGAGGAGAGTTGTCTTCTGCTCCAGCCACCTGGATTGCTGGCAATCCCTCTACTGGACTGCTAGGATATGTGTTGCAAATACTGCTCTGCCTGACCAGGGCAGGTCAGACTTACCCAGGTGCAGGAGCAGGCATTTTTCTGGTCATGTAGGTAACACCAGGCTGAATTAAAAGGGGTGATCAGGCAAGGAGTGCCCTGAGCTTGTTTCTGAAGTAGAAGGTTGTGTGGGACAACCTGAGGAGCAGGGATTCAGCTATCACAGTGCACTGTAAAGGTTTTGTCTTTTTCCAGTAATCACTGATTACCAGAAAACTCCTACCCTTCTCAAACTCCCTTTGGAGGTTCAACACCCAGCCTATAGCACCAATGAGGGCATGCTTATTTTCCTTTGGAGATCCAGAAGGAACGTGGGGGAGTAAGTACCAGTACTAAAGACCACCCAACTCACAGTCACTGGATTTGTAATGACTGCAGTTATTCATCAACTCTAAAAGAAAACCAGCACAACAAAATACCTAACTTCAGGTCAGGGCTACGATCAAAGTGAGTTAGAGTGTGATTGATTAAAGGCAAAGCAGATAACAGCTTATGAAAGCTTAGAGACATGGTAATGCCCAGTAAAAACACCCAGCTTTTAGGTCACTTCTCAATTTTTCATACCCTGTCTGGGGCAGCTAACAAACTGACAGAAGAAAACCTGTTAGTTTTCTCCACTGAGAACCTCAGATTGTCATGTTAGGCAGTCACTTTTCCTTCACATGTGCATGATGCTGAAAAAAGCAGTGCAGACCTCACAAGGATACTTCACATTTACACCCAAGCATATCAGAGCAGAACTAACTTTCTGCTGGTCCTTCCTTTGTTAGTTTTGTTACTAGGCTGCAACTAACAATTAGTGTTAACACAGAAAAAGTATATGAAGATCCACAAGGTGCCTTTGGAAATTCTATACTGTTTCACAAGAGGCTTGAAACGCCCTTGAGAATCCAGTCTGTGTGTATTCAGAGTTGTGACCATACAACTCTGTTTTGTATTAAATTCCTGTGGGTTTTGGTGGAACAGGATATATCTCTGGCAACAGCAGGTGAGTGTCAGCTCTTGGATGAAATATACAGGTAAAGAAGAGCAATTTAAACAAAAGCCCGAATAATTAGTACTGAAAAAGTGTGTAATAACAGCTCAACAAGAAACTCACTTGAAAGCAAACAGGAGACTAGGCACTACAAATGTGTGCTAATTGTATGAGAGAGATTTGTCTGAACATACAGTGTGCAATTTCTCCATACAGGATAAGGACACTGGGCTTTTTCTGTCTAAGAAACCATGATGCTTTGGTGTCCAGCCTGTGGCCTCAAGTTATTACCTAATGTTTACCTTTAAAACACAGAGAATGGATTTAAAACATAACCAGATCATGCTCTTCACCCACCCACACTGCTAGCTGTGAGTTCTTGGGCTCAGCCCCACCCAGAAGGGGGTGGCTCTCTGCAAATGGCATATGAAGGCTGTAGCAGACCCACAGTGCATCCATTTCTCTTCCCCTCAATGCTAGGCTGTGAGGGCTGAACTCCTGTTTTACAGGGTGCCTTAAGGAGCTCACAGTGCAAGCGCAAGAAGATGGAGAGTGGGGAAATCTTTGCAATGATAGAACTGGAATCATGCGGGAGCTGAGTCATGGTTCTACCACAGAAATCCTGGAGCTATTTCCAACCTTCCTTGCAGTTGCCCACCTGTAACAGGCTGACAACATAGTCTCATATGTTGTGTCTTTGGGAGGCCCTCATTTTCTTCAAAGAGAAGAAAATAATAGCAGAGAAGTTTGTAAATATGAATATGGGGCATTATTTACTTAGGATATCTGGCTGTCACAAGAGCATTTATTTCTGGAAAAAAAAAAAAACAAAAAAACCACAAAAAAACAACTGAGCCAGTGTTTCCTCCCAAGGTTTCTGGGTTGAGGCAACCATGGTATTATTTGCTTCCCTCCCTTTTTGGCCTGGTAAATTTCAAAGTTTGAGAGACCTGTTTCAGTGACCTAGACACTGCTTTTACAGTAAAGTCTGGATCTCAAAATTCCCCTCTATCATATTCAGTTGTTTAGTAGAAATAGTAAGGTATGAATAAAGAAATAGCTGACAACATCCTTCTGGAGAAAATATTACAAATAGTATGAAATATGTTTCTTGGTAAAAAGATCCATCACACTGATTTTCTGTTATTTATTCGCCCAATACTACATCTCACGCAAACTCACAATCAAAGTTGTGACAAAGATCATGATTGAAAATAATGGTATTGTACTTATCCCCCACCCTGCTTAAACTTTAACCACTGATGAAAAGGTCTGCTTTCAGAGTTGTTGCTCATGCCATGTGACTTGACTCCTACAATTGGGAGAAAGTGAGAGTAGGTAAACAAGCTCAAAATTACTGCTCACATTTAAGAAATTTGATAGAACCCACTTTTCCTTCATTACTTCACTTTCTAGTGAGGGAACCATAAAGCTTGAGTTTAACCATGCCGTGCCAAGAGAGTGTGCACACTTTTCTGCCTCCTTGGTTGTTAGGTTCTAATGTGCAGGCAGCTTCCCAGTCACACCTTGTGATCACAATTTCATTGCAAAAGCTGTCTTTTAGCACTGAGCAGCAAGTGGCAGACATATCAATTGCTGCACACAGACATGCACAAGTGATGTCACCTTTGCAATGCCAAGTGCTTTCTATGCCCCTTCAGGGCCCAGCAATCACTTGCAGCCCTGCAGCCTTTGACCCAAGCTGCTGTATCAGTATTTCCCCCTTCTCCTTCCTGTGCTGTTGCCTTGGCCTTCCACTTGCAAATCTCTGTAGATTCTCATAGAAAGCAATTGCTCAGAGTCCAATAATCTCATCTTTCTTCCCCTTGGGTTTCCTATCTGTTTTGTAACTTTATTTTGTATTAAGGAGAAAAGCAAGAGTTAGCAAATAGAAAAGTAGATAATAATCATGTAAATAACCCGTAAGCATTACCAACCATAAATATGCACAAATGGAGTGACTGCCACACACCACCTGTGACTGCTTAAGTGTGATCCTGTCAGCACTGACAGCATCACATACAGGAACAACCAAGAGGTAGCTTGGCTGGCTCCTAATGCCAAGAGCAGAGCTGACAGAGGAGAAAGCCTGACAACAATAATTATAGTCACTTTCCTCATCTTCGCTGCTTGCTGACTCTGTAAAGGACTCTCTTCTGGGGGCCACACTGCTTCATTACTTGGCTGGATATTTGTCAAGCACTTCCATTTCTTTCTGTTCTTTTTCCCCTACAGTAACTTCAAGTTGAAGTCTGGACCACACTGATAAAATTCTGTGCAGGTAAACCCGTCTCAAGAGGTGTGATGATACTGTCCCCACACAGCTGGTAAAGTCTTATTCTCAGCCCCTAGTAGAAATGCTGGGAAGCAGAGCTACAGACTACCCCAGTAAAAGATACTCTCTCTATGTATTATTGCTTGAGCTAGTTATATTTAGTTAATTAGAGCTTAACTTTGCTATACAAAGTACCATCTTATTCTAGGACAGAATGATGCATAGAACTAATTAAGCAAGATACCATTATATAGACTATATGGATTACATGGACATTATATGGACATTATATGAAGATTCACTGGGTTTGATTTTTTTCATTGATTTGATTTTAAGCATTCAGGCTAACACTCTTCCAAACCAAGTCTCTCCCCAAAATATTACTCTCATTGATTATTTCAGTGGTTCAAATAAATATGACAAGTCCTGGTGCTCTGTCATCTAGAAGTACACACCTTACACCTCATTCCTGCTCTGGAGCAAGAACTTTATACCAGGAATGAGGGAAGGGAGGTAAGACGCTGCAAGGCACAGACACAGATTTTTAAGTTGCTGCAAACCTGCTTATCTCACCCTATCCCACATGCGACCCGTGCTTTCGGCAGAAAAAGATCGCGGTGCCCCTTGGCGAGTCTAGCCGCTAGGCAAGCCTGCGGCAGGCCGGGCAGCAGGGCGGGTGCCCGAGGCAGCCCCGCTGCGGTGTGCTGCCTGCTCCCTCTGCTGGCACCGCCTGCTCCCAGCCCCGCCGGAGACACGCAACTGCTGAGCCGGTGGAAGGCGTCTAAAGAGAGCCCTTGAACACACCAGGGCCACATTACCTTCGCAGTACGACGAGCCATCAGTCCTGCTCACCAGTGTCAGCAGCCTGCAGATCGTGTCTCTCTTATGCACGTCCTGGAGCCATTCTCTCCATTTATCGTCACCTAAAAAACCTGTAACTTTCTCTCCAGTTATTCACAGTAGCAAAACAGTCACAAGTTTTTTAGTCACTTCATTTTTATGGGCCTCCAAATCTGTGAAGTGAGAAATAGAGTAAAAAGAAACACTTTTGACCTCATGCAAAAATCCTTTGCAGAAGAAAAATATCTGCAATAATTCCTCTACTATAGCATCCATTGTAGGTCTTGTCCTAACAGTGAACAGTGGACTTTTTCAATATCTCAAGATCATTAGCCTTTTAAAATAACATCTGATAGGGATGGTCAATTCATACAAGCTTTGTAAAACCAGTACAGGGCAGAAAAATACTGTTTGACCCCAGTGAGAGGAAAAGTTAGCGCTTTAGTTAAAAAGTTACTTAGTCAGCTCTTACAGGAAACATGCTGTGCATCCCCTAATCATTGGTAAGAACTCATATCTCCTTAGACATCAGAGAAAACATGATAAGAAATAAAAGTCTCTTAGGTTTGCATCTCACAGTGACACAGGACAGTCTGCAGTCAGAAAAAAATAAAGAAGTGAAAATTAAAAAATCTGTTCTTGAAACACCAGTATTTTGGGACATAATTGTTTTTTGAAGCTTTACAGGAAGTTATTTTAAAAAGCCAGGTTTGCTCTTGGGTATTATAATCAACTTGAGTTGTGATTTCTTTAGCAATTACAAAATCTATTGATCTTATACTGCATCAGCAAAAAATGAGGACTGGTGTTTTAAAATAGCATTGTAGTTACATAAGAAAGACCAGTATTCTGCTAGTGTTCAAAATTTAACTATAGCAGCATCTTTTCCAGACTCAGTGTTAGCATCATATCACCTTTAATACTAGAATTTCCTGGCATGAAAGCCATGAATAGCTTTAGCTTATCTAAAATGAAAAAAACAGAACCATCAGAAAATTAAAATGATCTGGATATAGGCTGTGCACAGGAAACAGTAAAATCCCTAGAGTAAGGTTTTTGAGTGCTTTAGAAATTCTGTTTTGGAATATACATCCTAGTTTTATCCACGTGGTAAAAATGCTAAATCAGAATCTGTGATCAAATCCCACACACTTCCAATATCTGAATCTAACAAAGAATTTCTATATATCTGTATCTATCTATATTTCACAATATTGAAGCATTTTACTGTAAAGGAGGAGGCTGATTAATTGAAGTAGAATTTACTTTTCCAATCCATCTGTAAAAACATTTCTGAGGACTTGATTACAATTATTAACTTAATGCAGAACTTTTTTTTTCATTATTAATCTGTTCTCTAATGACTCCATTTTGAAGTGTGTTAAAAAAGGTTTTGAGCTGTTTTGATAAGTGTTACTTGTGGAAATCACATTTACAAAGAAGTGTAGCATTTTTAACATTATGAAAGTTCTGACATTGTCTTCTGTCCAACACTACTTAATCAGTAAATACATTCTCTGGAACAAGAAAACAGTCTGTAAGAGGAGCAAATTACATACAGATGCTATATCCTGTTACTTAATGAAATTATTAGATTATGACTGATTTAACTAAGAAAAGACCATATGGCTCCAATCTCTCAGGGGAGATGAAACAAATCAGGTTATTTTCCTACCAACTCTTCCTGGTGTGAGCAGGGCATATTTAGGAGACACTGCTCAGACATGTGCAGAGCACAAGCCCAACACATTGACTGGATTCTTTCTGAAGATACGCTGGCTGCTAAAATGTCGGTACCTGGTTAATAAAAGCAGTGTAACCTTTTGCACTCTTCCTGTTCACAGGATGCAGGAGTACATCCTGTGTACAGGAGTGCAGAAAAATCCAAGGAGTTCTTGCCTGCACTCTTCCCAGAGCCCCAAAAAGCTGAAAGCTCCTCCAATCCCAAATCACAGAGTGAGAAGCTGCTCTACTCCCCTGTCAGCAGAGGCTTTTCTGGGAGAGCTTTTCTGGCTCTCCCGGTACCTGTGGCCCTTGACAAAGGCCTTTGTCCCTCACCTGTGAACATCTTCACAAAGTCGGCGCTCGACATGCTCATAACCACATCAGCTGTCACGGGAGGCTTTCCGAAGCCAGCGCTCCCACCCTTGGTCTTCAGGTCAATGTACCAAGTGCCTCCACCATCGCCTGGACAGAGAGTGAAGCGCGGTGAGAAGGCAGCAAGCGCTGCTGTGCCCTCCCTCTCTGTTGCCCCGCCAGAGGCCCGCGGCCGTGTGCGTTTGCAGTGGCTCCGTGGCAGCCCGCAGGCCGGCGGGGCTCCGCAAGGAGTCACCTCTTGTCCCCTGTGACGCCGCAAGCGCTGCGGGCTGGGGCCGCGGGCAGGAGAGCCCAGAGGCCGCGCTTTGCTCCCAGAGCCGCTGGCAGCTGGCGCTTCTGCCGTGGGCCCGAGAGCGCCCTAAGCGTGGCCACAGCAGCGCCGGGACAGAGGGACGGCAGCTCCCGGGGCTGCCCGAGCGGGCCTGCAGCACGAGCTGCAGTCACAGGACCTGAACAGGAGCCGGCCTGCTTCGGGACCAGCTTCCACTTCCACAAAGCGTTTCTGTCTGAAAACACCGGGGCCTTTTGCCAGGCAAGGCTGCGCAAGCAGTGGGCTTACCAGAGAGCTCAAACTGAAAGACACCCTGAGTACTTCTCACGTACTCCTCGGTCACTGCCCCTTGAATAACTTGGAACGTCTCTGCAACAGGACCCGATGGCATGGCTGCAGCAGATTCTGTCTTTGCCTTGGCCGCATCTGCTCCTTCCTGCTGGGATCTGCTTAATTTCTTCTCCTCTTTGAATGCTTGGGCAGCACCTCCAATAAATTAATTCTTCTGCAAAGGCTTCTAAACTGTAAATCAATTTACTGCTTTTGTTGCCAACTTTCAGAACTCTCTAAACATGGACAGAGGGTTTAGAAAGGAGACATTGTTTATTCTGCCCGAGATGCAAAGCAGAGATTTTCCACAAATCAAGCCAACCAAGGATTAAAATGTGAGAGAATTCACACACTGAAATCTACATAAACCTGCCTATCTAATACACAGTTACCCCTGCCTACTGCATAATTGCTTAACTTGTGCAACCTTATGCAGTGTTACTGCACCTGCATAGGCCTCTTCGGGGGTCTCTAGTGGTCCCTGCTGGTCGTTTGGGGAGATGTCCCCTACTCAGTCTCAAGCAAAGTTCAGTTCAGGACGTGCAGAACATCAGACTGAGTGTCCAAGAAGATGTCATCTTCTCAGACAATTTCCAGGCAAGTCATAAAATACAAAAGCTTTCCATAAACATTAAGCAACATCTGCCTAACCCACCTGATAGCATCATTTTACATTTAAAAGAGGGGTTAAAGGAGAGAATGATACCATCAGCTTCCATCTGGATCAGAGATCAAAGGAAGGGACAGGGAATTCTGTTTAAAGACTCAGAGCCTAAAGATCTAGAGAATTCTACGTAAAATACAGAGAATTCTGTTTAAACACATCAACTTGATCAGCATTTTACTTTACCCCAGTAAACATTTAACACTAAAGAAAAGCTTTTCCAATAAAGGAAAGCTTTTGCAATTTACAAAGCCAATCAAGTGGAACAGCCCCTTAAAATGCTGTTGAAAGTCTCTTAGGTATCCTCAGTATCAAAAATACTTAGGTCTGTTCTGTGAGTCCCTACTGAATAACCTGCACTGGCAGCCCAAGGAAATAACATAATCTGTCCCTGGCAGAACAGTCCTAGTGTGACTGCTCAAGGAGTATTTCCACCAGAAAGGAACACTTCCAAGCTTGCCTCCTCTGCTCTGGCCTTATCCCTATTTTGACACTCCAATAAAAGAGGTTCAGCATTCTTAGTTGCCCTTCAACTTGACATAAACCAATTCTGAAAGAGCAAAAGCAAAGCTTTTCTAAAAAAAACCCCAAAACAGTTCTGCACACATGACGGTGTTTTCAGAGCCGATTGCGAGCCTGAAAGATCATCCCACTGTCGCCAGGACACTCAGGACCCAGCTGCCAGTGCTCACCAGCACCTTGCTCGCCACCTCCTTCCGCACGGCCGCATTTCCCCTGCCCTCGCGGGCTGCAGCCGGCTCAGCCCGGCCGGGGGCGGGCAGGGAGGCGCAGCCGGCGGAGGGAGGCAGCGGCAGAGCTGGGAGCGCAGGGACAGCGGGGACAGCCGGAGCGGCAACGCGGCACGGCGGCCTTGCGCAAGGCGAAGGCCGATGGGCCAAATACCGACATGAAAGGAGTAGTTCTGAAAGAGAAGGGCGCTCCACGTTCTCCTGCGAGTAGCTGCGGGGTCAGGAGCCAGCTCCGGGTCAATGCTGCACCATCGGAGGGAAAGGCATTTGGGAGAGCAGAGGGGTGTCTTCCCCCTGCCCCCCAGGACCGTGGGGTTTCTGCAGTGTAGAGAGCAGAACACAAGACTTCTTTACAGCAGCCAGCAGTATGTATGCATTATCACTATCACTTGAAGTGTTTGGTCTCCAGAGGACTCTGGTTTCCAGTGCTCGATCTTGTTTTCCTCCCATGCCATGTTCGGCCTTTCCTTCCATGTCCTGGTGCATGCCAGCACTTCTGCTATCCTTTAGCTGCCAGATCTGAGCAGACTGACAGTAATCTGGGATCAGCAGTCCAGCAGTCATGGGCTGAGTGGTGACCAACTCAGACACCACGATGTGGGGTAAGAAGCAGACACTGCCCAGTGGAGCCTGAAGCTTTTGGGCAGAGCTCCTGGGACTGGTGGCACTGGGAGGTAATTAGGGCACACATCTCATGGAGCTTCAGGCTGAGCACAGCCACTGAGCGCAGTCCAGTGTGCGGCCTGGACTGGGAGCGGTCACGTTGCAGCCCACTCGTGCTGCCCCCTGTCTATAGCCACCCTTTGCTGTGCTACCATAATGCCCAACATGGGATTATGGTAGCACTCCTCTCCCTCCTTCAGCACCCCCAGCCCCTTGTGCCTGGTGAGAAAGGAACCTGTTTTACTATTTTTCAAGATTCCAGGGACTGCAGGGCAGAGGTAAATTAGTTTTATAACAGAATTTAACTGCCTTACCTCATCAGTATCTGCAAGTATCTGAAGGGGGGTGCCGAGAGCATGGATCCAGGCTCTTCTCAATGATACCAAGCAACAGGTCAAGAAGCAATGGGCAAAACAGATGAACAGGATTTCCCACTCAAATATGAGGAAGAACTTTTTTACTATGAGATTGACTGCACACTGGAACAGGCTGCCCATAGAGGTTGCGGAGACTCCTTCACTGGAGATATTCAAGAACCATCTGGATTTAATTCTGTGCAATGTACTTTAGGACAACAGTGCTTGAGCAGGGAGGGTGGACCAGATGTGACCCAATGTGGTCCCTTCCAAACTGACCCATTCTGTGATTCTGTGAACTGTGATGAAAGCAATGCAGATGTGACATTTTCAGTGCAGGTCAAGAAATTTTAAACAAGCACAGGCTCTAAAAAAAAGTTGTAAACTTTTGTGTTTCTAAGTTAATTAAGAAATAAATCCTAAGTGTTGCAACCTTCTCAGCTTGCTCAGAAGAGTGAATGATCCAGAATCTGGGCAGTTTTTTTGGCTGCCATGAATAAACATTTTAAGAGGTTGCTCCATCTGACTTTGCAGATGCTGTCACATGAAGTGGCAGCCCATGTGTGTACTCGGGCACTTACAAAGTAGAGACATGCATCATTTTACCAGTGAGCGTAAATCTTTACCAGCCAAATGGAAGCAAGGGGAAATTGACTGGCTGCAGGGATGTAGGGGTAGGAGAAGAGAGAGAGCACATGAGTATGCATGTCTGTGAGCGTACCTTTGCATGAGAAGAAAACATGCTTATCACTCAGTATGGCTGTGCAGCCTCAGTGCAATACAGAGATAAGAGAATACGTGTAGGTAATAAACTCATTAAAGGAGAGAAAAATTTGAGATAATAATTTACCAGGTGTAACTAAAGCTCTGTTAAACTGACTACATTACTTCTACTACTAAGCCAGCTTAGTAAATTTGGCATAGCACTTCTAGCACTGATCTGCAGGGTGACATTTGCTCTACCCACCTTTTCTATGGGATATATGTGCACAATCAACTACATGGGAAAAAACTCACTTCAGATGTCCTACATTGACCCAGAGGAGCAGAAATAAAGAAAACACCTGGAAACTAACTGCATTCTTGAGACAGAATTAGTTTAATTATGGACATCTTTTTAATGAGATTGAGTTATTTCTTCTATGAAAACCTCACATTTTATCAGTATTTCTTATACTGCATCAGAAAAACAAGGACTAAAAATTCAAAACAGCATTGCAGTTATATATGAAAGGCCACTGTTGTGCTAGTATGGTTTCCTCTCACAGTTTAGAATTAAGCTGTGAAAGCATCTTCTCAAGTTTTATTGCTAGTGCCATGTTTCCTTTAATCCTTAATCTTCCAGTCATGAAGGCCAGAGTTGGCTTTAATTTACCTAAAAAGAAGAAGCAGAATCATCAGAATAACATAGGAAGTGGAAAAAGCCTTTGCACAGGATAACGTAATGTCACCACAGTGAAACCTTAGCATCTATACTGCTACCAAGTCCTCCTGGTGTGAGCAGGGCATATTTAGGAGACACTGCTCAGACATGTGCAGAGCACAAGCCCAACACATTGACTGGATTCTTTCTGAAGATACGCTGGCTGCTAAAATGTCGGTACCTGGTTAATAAAAGCAGTGTAACCTTTTGCACTCTTCCTGTTCACAGGATGCAGGAGTACATCCTGTGTACAGGAGTGCAGAAAAATCCAAGGAGTTCTTGCCTGCACTCTTCCCAGAGCCCCGAAAAGCTGAAAGCTCCTCCAATCCCAAATCACAGAGTGAGAAGCTGCTCTACTCCCCTGTCAGCAGAGGCTTTTCCGGGACAGCTTTTCTGGCTCTCCCGGTACCTGTGGCCCTTGACAAAGGCCTTTGTCCCTCACCTGTGAACATCTTCACAAAGTCGGCGCTCGACATGCTCATAACCACATCAGCTGTCATGGGAGGCTTTCCGAAGCCAGCGCTCCCACCCTTGGTCTTCAGGTCAATGTACCAAGTGCCTCCACCATCGCCTGGACAGAGAGTGAAGCGCGGTGAGAAGGCAGCAAGCGCTGCTGTGCCCTCCCTCTCTGTTGCCCCGCCAGAGGCCCGCGGCCGTGTGCGTTTGCAGTGGCTCCGTGGCAGCCCGCAGGCCGGCGGGGCTCTGCAAGGAGTCACCTCTTGTCCCCTGTGACGCCGCAAGCGCTGCGGGCTGGGGCCGCGGGCAGGAGAGCCCAGAGGCTGCGCTTTGCTCCCAGAGCCGCTGGCAGCTGGCGCTTCTGCCGTGGGCCCGAGAGCGCCCTAAGCGTGGCCACAGCAGCGCCAGGACAGAGGGACGGCAGCTCCCGGGGCTGCCCGAGCGGGCCTGCAGCACGAGCTGCAGTCACAGGACCTGAACAGGAGCCGGCCTGCTTCGGGACCAGCTTCCACTTCCACAAAGCGTTTCTGTCTGAAAACACCGGGGCCTTTTGCCAGGCAAGGCTGCGCAAGCGGTGGGCTTACCAGAGAGCTCAAACTGAAAGACACCCTGAGTACTTCTCACGTACTCCTCAGTCACTGCCCCTTGAATAACTTGGAACGTCTCTGCAACAGGACCCGATGGCATGGCTGCAGCAGATTCTGTCTTTGCCTTGGCCGCATCTGCTCCTTCCTGCTGGGATCTGCTTAATTTCTTCTCCTCTTGGGCAGCATCTATGGGAAAGATTACTTTTCTCTTTCAAATGCAAACCACTTTAAAAGTGTATGTAGAATCATAAGCAGAGAACTCCATTTGAAAGGATTTAAGCTTCAAAGTAGGGAAAGTGGTTCTTTTACCATTTCAGTATTAACACTGATAAAGGATAATTTCTCCACCAGGAATCTGAATAGGTGTACATCGCTAAATGTAATTATGTAATAAATTTTGATTCCTGACAAATCAAAAGAACAGCAAAAATAAAACCACAGCAAAATTCTAATTCTGACTGTTTATAGTTCATTACAGCCATTCACACAACAGTTTTCTAATGTTTTCTAATCCATACACTACTCCTGACAACATTAAAAATAAAAAATCAGTGTCTTTAATAGCCATTGCTTTCATCTCAAAATACTTCTGTCTTGTCTATCTTTTAAAGAACATGCATATTTTCACAAATTCTTCTGCAATAGTTTCTAAGGTGGAAATAAATTTATTGCTTTGATCAG